ACTAGGATGCTATCTGTGAGTAAAGAGATGGGAACGAATGTGAGAGATGTGGACGTGGAACTGATAAGATTCTGAGCGCTAATGGGAAATGCGAATGTGGATCAGAGGAAGGTGAAGAGTCAAAAACGCCATGACCATTGTGAGAACCTGGGCAGCAGAAGAGAGGGGCGCCCTTGACAGTAATGGAGAAGTAGAGAAGAAGGCTGAGCTTGCAGAGAGAGAGAACATAGTGGTATCTGCCATCCAGATCACCATCCAGCCATGCCTGCTGTGCCTGTGGGACTCACTATGGACACCACTCAAAATGAAAAGGAAAGAGGCAGAGATCTTGGATAACAGACAACAATGACAGATCACCGCCACCATATCCAGAGTCTGCTCTCTAAGAGTACCTACGGCAGACATGAGTTGATCTGAAGATTAGGGGGTGGGGGCAGTTTTCCCAGCATCACCTATATAGCTGCTGTGGGTGGTCAGTTTAGGTTATAATTTCCCTAAGGGCTGATAAGTGGAGGTGATGGTTGTGTGGGAGAGAAGCACCCCCTCATTGGCTATCGCAGCACAGATGGGATGCAACCTGTCTTCCCACCCACTGATTGGTTGATCACACGCACCTCAGGATCAGATCCCACATACATGACCTCTCCTGAGGTGATATCACAGGACCCCTACTTTGGAGACCACTCTACAAAAAGATAATCTCTAAGGAAGAGGTTCTTATACTGGAGTCTGGTCCCATGGATAAATTTCAGGGATTCCATGAACCTAGATGGGGGGATCACATCTTTATTTTCACTAACGCCTAACTGAAATTTAGCATTTTATTCGATTATGAATATATATGTATACATACGTGCACACATATGTATATGTATGTATATATACATATATGTATGTGTATGTATAAAATTCTGAGAAGGGGTCTATAGGCTTCATTACCTTGCCAAAAGGGTCTATGACAAAAAAAATAATAATAAGGTCCGCTCTGAGGGTCCTTACAGCTTTAAATTCTCGAGATCCTGATCCTGCCTGTAAAACCTTGGACAAATAAGTCCCTTATCCTCTCTAGGATGAATTTTTTTCCATCTGTAAAATGGGAAGAAGTGATGGATTAGACTAGGATCCTAAGGTCTCTTCTAACTCTAAATCCTACAAAATATGATGAGGTGAATATTGGCCTGTACCACTGGGACCTGAGACAGAAAGAATCTCAGCTGAGATTCAAGAGACCTAGGTTCTAATCTCACCCCTGCTACTACTGTGTAAACTTGGACCAGTCACCTCTCCAGGCCTCAGTTTGCTTATCTTTAAAGTAAGATGAACTAGATGGTTTCTAAGGCCCCTTCCAGCTCCAAAGGCCTCTGTTTTTATGATTCCTTATGAGGCATTTTAGGGAAGGATTAGTAAGTGAACACGTACTTGGAGAATTTCCAATAGAATCCAGAAGTCTTAACTTTGAGAAGGGAAGGGAAGGTGGGGTGGGGGGAGGAGACCTCATAGCCCCTCCCCTCAGGGGTGAGGGGTTTCAGTCATTTCAGAAGCCAGTTCCCAAACAGGCCTTAAATAGCCTGGAGATGAATATCTGGTTAATGTTCATTTCAAGTGTGCTTGGCTCCCAGCCTTTCTCACTGCCCTACCCACCTCCCTCTTCTCTCAGCAGCAGCCTGAGTCACTGCAGCAAGCTCCAGAGGAACTCACTCCCTCCCCTCCCTTCTCCTCCCTTCTCCATCAGGATTTAAATAGAGGAGGTGGGCCATTTCTAGAAATGGTGTTCATCCTGATCAGGGGCACATGATCCCGATCTAATCTGGACTCACCACCCCACTGACCTTCCCCATGGAAAAACGGAGAAAAAAAGTAATAAAACAAAACACATTTCCCCCAGCCTATGGGGTTGGGGGGGCGTGGCAACATGCCCCCAGTCAGAATGAATTGTGTAGCTTTCTTTTAGTTTTGCCAGATGAGTGATTTCATTGGTAGAGGCAACGTGGTCGAACTCAAATAGAAAAAGGGCTATTAAACCATACAAAAGGATTCCTGCTCAAGCATATTTACTTAGAGGATCACATCTTAACATTATCTATGTGCTACTGTATTTTGAAAAATTTTTTAATAAATATTTCCCAATTTCATTTTAATCTAGCTCTGGCAGCCCTCTTGCCACCGTGTGTCTACCACCTTTAGAATAGAAAACTCTAGACAAGGAAACAGCACCTACCAGTTTTTAGAGAGCTACTTAGGGCACTGAGACCATTAAGCGACTTTCTGAACACTGTAACATCCAAAATTTCTGCTACAACTTTCCTCTGAGTAGAAGCCATCCTTAGATGGGAAAAGTATGTGCCATAGGGCATAGCTGTCAAGCCCAGCCTTCAGCTTGCTACTTGTGTAACCTCTCATCTCTCAAGTGAGGGAGTTGGGCCTCCTGGTTCAGGGTCAGTGAGGAAAGGCAGAACCTGATCTTGGTTCAGCCCTGCCTTCTTGTTCCTTGATCACCCCAGAGAAGGATCAAAGCAGACACTTCATGGTCAACCAAAACTCAAGTACCTACAACCAGGCTCCAGCTTCATCTAACCTTCCTTCTCTTCTCCCTGAAAGTTAAAATTTTCTACCCCTAATCCCTGATGCGTCCAGCCCTTTCCCTCCTCTTCCATGTCAGCCTTACTCCTACCCCACACGGAAGGAAATTCAGCCACAGGAGAAGAAGAAGGAATTGCCCAACACTGAGAAAGATGGAATTGACATGAAAATACAAGCATCTTCACCTCCTCGGGTCCTCAAAGAGTTAGAGAACCAAGGGAATGAGTTTTACCCTAGGATTCTAGACTTGAGAGTGAGAGCAGGGGGGGAAGGGACTGAAGACTATTATTTCCCCCAGCCAGGAATAGAGGCGGCAAGGCATGGGGAATAGAATGCTAAATCTGGAACCAGAAAGACCTGAATTTGAATTCTGTCTCTGACACCTACTAGTTTCATGATCCTGGGCGAAACACTTAATTTTTTTTTCTGAGTCTCAGTTTCCTCATCTTAAAAAAAACTGATGCTGGACTCATTGGTCTCTAAGATTTTTTTTTTCCAGCTCTAAGCCTATGATCCTATGAGTAATGGGGACTGGAACAGTGGTCACTACTTTTGACCATTAACCTCCCACCACCTGTCCCAGGGAGTAAACTCAGGCCTCTTATTTTTCCTGCCCCTGCCAGGAATTCAGAGCCTTTTAAGAGCAGGCCAGTTTTCCATACCCTAAATGCAGGATATCAAAGAGGAGGGTGTATGTCTCCTCTGATGGAGTTGCAGAGTTTTACAAGCCTCCTTCCACCATGCAGGCCAGCCCCACTCTGTGCCTAACCAGGAGAGAGGAGAGATGAGATGCCGTCCCCACCCTAATCTCCAATTAGATGCCTGACTCCTCTGTCCCCTCTTCCAGGCCCCTTGGGCATTGAGCCAGGTCCTGTGTCCCTACACAGGAGACTCTCTGTCCCTTTCTGGACAGAATGACCTTTACAGTAGCCAAAGGGCTCCATCTGTTCCCTTCTCCCTTTCCTCATCCCCATCCCCAGATGTTAGGAGCAAGAGGGGGAGGAGAGCCAGTGTGTGTGAAGCAGGTCAGAGGATTCCAGCTGAATTCCCTCCCATCTTTTCTCCACTCTTTTGATCTCTTGGTTTTGCTCTCAGACCTCTCTAGCACCTCTTTTTCATTCCCATAGCTATCTCTCTTCCCTCCCTCCTCACAGCCCACCTGAACTTTCTGTATATTCCTGATTTTCTCTGCTCCTCATTTCAGTCCTCTCTATTATTATTTTCTTTCCCCTACCCTCAATCCTCTTCCCTCTTCTCTCCCTTGTTTCTGGGAATCCAAGTGAAGATGTGTCCTGACAGCCAAGGGCATAGCTACTATCAGTTATATCTATCTAAAGATTCCCTGAAAATAAGCAGAGACCCAGAGAAGCAGTCCCCACTCAGAAGAAAAAAAAATAGGTATGTAACCAGTAGAAAGCACCTAAGGGTCCGAGTGGGCTCCGGTTCCCCGTGCTCACCTGCTAGGTACTTCCTTACATCAAGCCTCACTCTGGCTGACGGAAAATTCCACCCATTGCAAGAACAAATCCAATCACTCTCTCTGGAAGAGAGCCCTTCAAACACTTGAAAGCAGCAATCATGATCCTCTTAAGCCAGCTATTTTCTAGTCTAAATATCCCCAGTTTCTCTTAATCTGAAAGTTTATCAATACTTTTCCTAAAATGTGAAACCCAGCTGGGGTTTGGTCAGGGCCAAAGAGAGCCCGATTGCTGCATTCCTGGATACTATGCCTATGAACACATCACCTTTTTCAGTTGAGTCATATTGTGCTAGACTGCTCCCTCCCCCAAATTATTTTCAGACAAATTACTACTATCTAGTCTTGATGCCCCCATCTTTTACTTATTCAGGGGTTTTTTTAATCCAAGCATAAGACTTTACACTTATCCGTATTAAATTTCATCTCATTAGATTTGTCCCAATATTCAAGTCTGTCAAGATCTTTTGTTTGATCCTCCCAATAACCTTGCAAGGTGGGAGCTATAATTAGTCCTATTTTACAGATGAGTAAACTGAGGCTCCGAGTGGTTCAATGGCTTGCCCAAGGCCACATTGCTAAGTAGGTGTCTAAATAGAATTTGAACTGAAAGCATCCTAATTCTAAGGGTAGTCTCATATCCTGCTAGCTACCTAGCCTCCTACTGTTTCATAGATCACGGAGGAGGGGACAGGTAGCAGATATAGTTACTGAATGCATATTTTGAAGCCCACCAAATACTGTGGAAGAAGCAGAAATTTTTCTACATGGATTTGCAAAGCCGGTACCCAAAATCCATAGATAACCAGGTAATCTAGATAACCTGTGTTATCTAAATAACCCCAGTATTATTTTCCTCCAGCTTAGACTATATCACAAACCTCTCACTTCAACAGATTGACCTTTGGAAAGGAGGCAGGGAAGCAGCCCCAGGCCCACCTACCTTCCATGCTGTCCTCTCGGTGCATGTTGAAATTGTCATAGGAGTCCCAGCGGATGAGAGGGTCAGAGGTGTTATAGTCCACAGACACACTTGGCCCATTTTCCAGATGTTCCATTCCTGAGTGATTGGAGGAAAGGGAAATAAAAAGAGGTTAACATTTGGAATAAACAAGGAAATCACAGTATTCCCCTAAGGAAGGTCTCTAAGCAATTTCACATTATCTTGAGGCCATAAAGAAGGAAAATAAGGCACAGAATGGGTCAGGGGTCCATCCGAGGGTCAATGGCCAAGCTGATCAAGGAACCCCAGAGTATAGGCCCTAATGCTATTTATGAGGCTTACACCCGGGTCACATGATGGAGCCCTGGAAGATGGAGCCCTGAGAAGCTTGGAGCCCTCACTGCAAGTAAGTTTCTAGCTTTCTGAGTTACTCCAACTCCTCTTCTAAAACAATGATGAAAATGCCAGAAGATTATAATGGTCTCCCACTGGAATTAGGGAAAAGGGGTTTAGGAAGATTCATGCTATAACTGACTAGGGTCAAAGACTGTGAGAGAAAAATGCTGGTCCTTGTATGCAGAAAGCTCTCAAGAACTGCTAAATTAAACTGACCTGTGGATCAGAGGCCAGCCTAGAGCAGAGGTTTTCAACCTTTGGCAGTGTAGGGAAACCTACGGATCCCTTCTAAGAATGTTGTAAACATATAAAATAAAATACATAGCATTATAGAAGGAAACCAATTATAATGAAATACAGTTATCAATTTTTTTAAAAAAGCAACTTTGTGGACCCCATATTAAGAAGCCCTAGCAGAATCAGAGAAGTATAAATGCCCTTGAGTTCTTTAAAGATCAAAACACTCATCCCTCTCCCCATAAGGATGCTCTCTCCCTCAGCCAAACCAATAGGAGGCTCTCCCAATCCAAAAATATTTCTACAAAGGAAGACAACTCTATCTCAATCAGTCATACCTACTAGAGCTTAATCACCTTTGATGTCCTTCAAGCCAAATCCTTTCTTCAACCTATGATCAGTCCCTCATTTTCTTTTTCCATGAGCTGAGAATATCAGGTTACCACCCTCTGCCTAGCAACACTATTAAAGGCTAATGTTTAATCAGCCTTCTCCTCTATACATTCAATCATTCAAGTTCCTTTACTCTATTCTCATAAACACTATTCCTTTGTCCTTCCACTTCCTTCATGCCGTTCCCTTAGCCTCTAGCCTTTATCTGTGGAGCCTAGAGGTGGACACAGGACTCTGACTGAGGTTGATTATGATAGGAAAATAACCTAATAGTTCCTATATTATTTATCTACTCCATTACCATATTCATGGGATGAGTCAGGAATCTTGAGTTGATGTCTTAGCTCTGCCACTAATTACATCCCTAGGCCTCAGTTTCCTCATGTGTCAGTCAATAAACATTTATTAAGCACCTACTGTGTGCCAGGTGCTGAGAGACAAGGGGATTGAAATAGATGATCTCTAAGACTCTTTCCATATTTAGCTATCTATGAAATCTATCTTGTCTCTTTCTGTATTGTTTTTCCCACAGTTCAGTCACTGATTCTCATTCAGTATAGCTGGCATCCACTCTAATGCCCAAATATTTATCTGCTGTTCTAATTTTTGAACACAGATATCTTGCATTTGGTCAAGGGGCAGGGTTAGGAAGCAGGGCAAGGAAGGCATAGGTAGGGTGGAAAATTATAGGAGATTATACCTTGAATTTTCTCAGGGCCATAAGAAAATACAAACTCTACTTTGCCATACTCTGGAAACCGATCATCTGGAAAAGAAGAGAAAGAAAGGAAGGCTTCCATCAGCAACCAGAAAAGGTTCTGAGAATTCTTAGCCCCTGACTTCAGCACAGACACATCTTGCTCAGCACACAAAGACATCCTGCACACATGTGGTCCAGAAGAAAATGATGGGGATTATCCAGGGGCACGCTGGTAAATATTTAGCAACTGACTCTCCAGAAAAAAGAATGAAGCTACCACATACTTTTAAGTTTAATCTATGTTATTCATATTTTCTCCATCACTTTCTTAAGACTTGACAATCAATAAAACACTAAATCAAGTCCTGACGTATAGCATTTGCTGATTTCTGAGGTGTACATACACGCTCACACTGAAAATTTAACAATCGGTTCTCAACTTTTACTCTAGCACACCCGTGGGATCACCCCACTTACTCATGAACCTCCCCATCATCCTCCCCAGCTTTCCTCTCTGCTCTTCCTGGCACCAGCCCCATTCAGCTAAGGATTTCATTCCAGGTACTGAAGGGATAGGTGCAGGGGAGAATGGAAGAAGGGGGAGGCCGGGGATTGAAATAGTGAGTGGGGATCCAATGTCCTGGGCCTGAAAGGGAGAAGTCCCAAAGGGGGAGAGAAAAGGAGGGCAATGAAGAAAAGACACAATAGGAGAGGAGGAATAGAGCGAATTGGGAAAATGTAGCAAGAGATCAACTTGATAGAAAAGGAATGAGCTTCATCTCAAACTGTTTTTCTATGCCTCACTCCCAAGGGCCCCACCTTTGAAGGCATCATCTAGGTCCTCCTTCCCAAAGACGACTCCCAGGTCATGGATGGCACAGGTATGGAACTGAACTCGGAATATGACATCCCGGGCCGGGCTTCGGAACTTTTTGTGGTAACATTTCAGCTGGGCCAAAGACACAGAGGGGGCACTGGTCAGACTCAGTGAAACATCAAGACCACCTTGAGGGAGAGCAGAATCAGAGAGAACCCCAGGCCAATGCCCACAGTTTCCAGAACTTATCTCCAGTTTCAGGGAGGAAAATCTCGCCACCACCAGACAAAAATCTCTTAGAGATCTCCTCATCCTGCAGGTACTCTTTCAGCCAACAAAGTATAAAAAAAAGTTCTACCCAACAGCACAGCTGAAGATGGGTTTAAATTATAACAAATGGAAACTAATTATTTAATTACTATAGCAACTACACCATGATACGGTAGGAAGATTACTGGATTTGGAGCAGAAGACCTCAGTTTCCCAGGCTGTAAAATTAGGGAACTGGACTAACTAGATTCTAAGGTCCTTTCACGTCCACCTATGACTTTCTATGGAAAATGCTACATGACAGGGTGACAAGGAGGGATGTCGTCCCTTACGATCATAGGACATAGAGCTAGAAGTTATATTCTCTCTAGACAAGAAACAAATCTACTACTTTTACATTTGTATCCTATCTAAAGCACTTTTCCAAAGCACTTCCACTCACATCTCATTTGCACTTGACAACAATCCAGTAAAAAAAAAAAGCAAGGCAGTTGTTATCCCCATTATACAAAAGCTAAGGCAGATTAAGTGACTTGCCCAAGGACATGATTATCCATACAATCCCAACAAGCATCTTTTTTCTTTTTTAACAGTTACCTGTCATTTCATTCTCTAAGGGGTTTCCAATAAGAAACTACCTTTAATTAATGCAAAATGGTACCTTTTCCACAACTTGGAGACTAAGAAATTGCCTGGGACACCAAGAGGCTAGGTGATAAAAACAGGTTATGTCAAAGGCAGGGCTTGAACCTAGGTCTTTAGGGCTCCAAAGCCAACTCTGTAGCCACCGTACCATGCTGCCTCTCAACACACACCTATTTCTAGTAAGACACATAGTCTCAACTATTGCCTGGATCTCCTGATTCCTCGTTCAGGCTTCTTTTTACTTTACTGTCCTGCCCTGGGTCAGGAGAAAGGGACTTCACCTTGCAGGGAAAAGATGGGAAGGGTGACATCAGCAGGGCCCTGCCCACCTACAGAGTCTCTGGTTCTTATTGGTTGCTGCAGTTCTCCGTCTCCTCTGAGGAGGCAGGAGTAGGAGTAGCAGCAGTGGCAACAGAAGGACATGAAGGAAAGAGGGATCATCACCAAAAAGAAAACAGTCCTTACCAAGATGTCTCCCTTCAGAAGCAATCCAGGCTCAATGGTGATACAGATGCTGGTCTGGCTGTCTCCTTGGACATTGCTGTGGGGAGAGATGGGGAGAAAGAGATGGAAAAAAGAGAGATGGTTAGAGAGAGAGATGAAGAAAGAGAGATGGAGAGAAAAATAGAGGAAAAGATGTGGAGAGAGAGATGGGGAGATGGAGAGAGGGGTGAAGAAAGAAGTGAAGAGAGATGGAAAGAGATGGAGAAAGAAGGAGAGAGAGATAGAGAGAGGGATGGAAAGAGAGGGGGAGAGAGAGATGGAAAGAGAGAGGAAGACAAGTGGAGAGAAATGGGAAGAGAGATGGAGAGAGAAATAGAGAAAAAGATGTGGAGAGATGGAGAGAGAGGTGAAGAAAGAGAGAGGTGAAGAGAGATGGAAAGAGAGATAGAGTGAAAAGGAGAGAGAGACAGAGAGAGGGATGGAAAGAGGGGTGGAGGGAGAGATGGAAAGAGAGAGGAAGAGAGTTGGAGAGAAAATGGAAAGACAGAGATGGAGAGAGAAACAGAGAAAACGATGTAGAGAGAGAGATGGAGATGGAGAGACAGATGAAGAAAGAGAGAAGTAAAGAGAGATGGAAAGAGAGATAAAGAGAGAAAAAGAGAGACAGAGAGAGGTGGAGGGAGAGATAGAAAGAGAGAGGAAGAGAGATGGAGAGAGAAACAGAAAGAGAGAGATGGAGAGAGATGGAAAGAGAGACGGGGAGAGAGAAATTTAGGACAAAAACAAAGACTTCCCATCCTCCTTTTCCCACAACACAACTTTTTAGAAGGTCACACAGATTTTGATCTACAGTACTGATGTCCACTCAAACCAGATGAGTGAGAAAGAAGAGCACAGATCCATGGGTAAAGTATACTGTCCTTTTAAGGTCTTTTTAATGTGATGAAAAGGTATAGCTTCTTGTCTCTTTCTAGTAGTGACAGGAGGAAGCCTAAGATACTCATCTCCATGAGGAAGAGATACATACTAGATTCCAGAAGTATAAACAGGTTGCATGGCCTGGTAGATCCTGAGGAAGGGTCGACAACCTGAAAGAAGCAACCAAAAATAGATAAGGATGTTTAATAGATAGGAGAAGGAACAGAGAAACAAAAAGAGGAAAGAAAACAAAGAGAGGAAACAAGACAAGAAAAGACATAAGCAGGAAAGAGGGAGGAATGAAGAGAGAAGGAAGGAGACTGAGAAAAAGGAAGGAAAGAAGGGAAAAAAGAGAAAGCAGGGGAAACTGAGGCAATGGGAAAGGCAGAGAGATTGAAACCTAAACTATCAGCCACTGACCTCCTTTGGATTCAAAGTTGGGAATGCCGTGCATAATGACGTGATGAAGGAACAAAGGTTTGTTGTTCATTTTGATGGAACCAGAGAGCAGCCCACTGAAGTAATGCACGTACCTGCAAGGAGAAGACATCAGACCTTCAGCACGGTCCTTCCTGGGAAGAATCACTCAGAGGACAGCTCAACCTACGTCCCCCTCACTCCTCACGCACGACAGAGATAGGGCAAGAGGGGCTTTGCTGTGGTTATGGGTTACGGGATTGGTCACTGGAGGAAATGTTAAAGAAATTGAGGCCACCCTAAGTATTCTTGTACCTGAGGGCAGGGGAGAGGCAGTACAAAGAACAGTATGACAAAGGACAGCATCCCCAGAAGGTCCAGTCCTTCCCTTCTCTGGGACTAGAGGCAAGAAAACCTCACAGGAGGGGAATATGGCAGCAAAGAGACACTGGGTGCAATTGCTAAGAAGCAATCAAACCTTATGGTGGTATAAGGTATCAGAAGATAGAGGGGCTCAGTGTAGAGATAGTGGTCACCCTAGAGAAGATGTACAGCTCTGTTTTGGGGATATCAGCAACCTGAGGCAAAGCCCTGGTCTAGTTAAGTCTAGTTATGGCTCTGGGTAAGAGGATGATTCTACCTAGAGAGTAAAAGATGGAGGGGAGAAGTGTTTGATGGAAAGCTTTAAATCTCTGACGGCGGATAACACTCCATTCCATCACATGCACACACGCACATACACACACACACAACTTTGAAAATAGAAAAAGAAGAAATGGGATGCAACGTAAGAAAATGGGGCTTGAGATGAGTCACTGAAGAGAACTTTGTGACTTTCAGGGTTACAGCAGGGGTTAGCAAAGGAGGATGTGGCTTCTCTTTCCCTAGAGATCTTTAAGAACTGGGAGACCTTTGACTATCTGGCCTAAAAGAAGAAGAATTCCACAGTCAAGAGATAGGGATAGTATCAAGAAGACCATAGGGTCACAAGGCCAATCCAAAGCAGTCACTAACCCATCCGCAAACACTATACTTACAAAGAGACTTCCAGTGCCCCCTAGTGGCCTATCTTTTTCTATGTCACTATGTACCATTCTGTTCAAATCAACAGGTTTATAGAAAGCCTTCTACATACTAACCACTTTTACAAGGATAAAGAATGACACAATCTGTCCCCCAAAAACTTGCACTCCCAAATGTACCCTATAATGCACATTGGAAACTGATTTAAGCTTATGGGAGAGGTCAAACAGAATGAATGGTAGAGGATTTTCAGGAAGGGAGGGAGGGATCACTTAGAGCTGGGGCTAAGCATCATGGAGAAGCCTGTCGGTCCCAGCTCTTCTGTTTACTAGCTGCATAACCTTGGGTAAAACACTTAACCTCTATGTGCCTTACTTTCTTCATCTGTAAAAAGAAAGTGTTAAACTAAAATGATTTTAAAGGTCCCTTGAACTCTAGAAGTTAGAGCTAGAAGTTATTTTATTTTTAGGCAATCGGGGTTAAGTGACTTGCCCAGGGTCACACTGCTAGTAAGTATCAAGTGTTTGATCTGAGGCTGGATTTGAACTCAGGTCCTCCTGATTTCAGGGCCGGTGCCCTATCCACTGAGCCACCTAGCTGCCCCCCAGAGTTACAAGCTAAGTTCGATTTCTGCAGCTAGGTAATACAATGGATAGAGCACTGGGCTGGGAATCAGGAAGATTCATCTTTCTGAATTCAAATCCAGCCTCAGACACTTACTAGCTGCGTGGCCCTGAGCAAGTCACTTAACCCTGTTTGCCTCAGTGTCCTTATCTGTAAAATGAGCTGGAGAAGGAAATGGCAAACTATTCCAGTATCTTTCCCAGGAAAACCCCAAATGGGGTCATGGAAAGTAGGACACAGCAGAAAAACAACTGAATCATAACTCTGACTCCAAAACCTATATCCTAGGTAGGGTAGAGAGAAACCATTTCAAACAGGGAGGATACGGGAAATAAGAAAGAGCAGGACGAGAACCAGGGACAGCAAGTATTCCAGTTGGGCTAGAACACGAGAAAGAGCAAAATAAGGCTAGAAAGGCAGGCTAGGGCCACATTGTGGAGGATCTTGAATGTATTCTGGAGAAAGGTTACAATTTCATATAAAATTTTTTAGTTATTTTTATAGAGGTGGCAACTAGAGCCAGCATGGTATAACTGAAAAAAAAAAAAAAAACTGGTTCTGGAGCCAGAGAAACTGGGTTCAAATCCTGCCTCAGCCACTTAGCATCTACACTGGTAAAAATGTTCGTATTGAAAACGCAGGCCTCTGCTGTTGTGGAAAGTCTGGAGTCAATAAAAGTGTTTTGCAATTTACCAAAGCGATTCAGACCTCTTTCCTCTCCTTTTCAACTCTGGGCCAAGCTCACTGTCCATCTGTTTTGTCTTTCCCCAATATACATACTGCTGAAAAGCCCTATGGGTTGTCTATTCAGATGCATATTGAAATATGGGCGACAGACATTCTTCATCCATTTGGTCTCTCCTATGTGGATGGACAGGCCAAGCTCCTTTAAATGATTACAGATCTTTTCCAGGAGGCTCTGCAAAGTTTTGAAGCTTGAGGTAACACAATGCCATCTTCAAACACGAGCAAATAGAAGACCTCATCATCTACATGTAATCCCTGATCGATCTGCCCTGCCCTAAATCTCCTCCATCACAGTGATATATAATTTTGATGAGCACACATCCCCTGTTTTGTCTTACCTAATGTTTATCAGAGAGCTATTGAACAGAGTTATTTCTGTTGTAGCATCTTCCAAGGAATCTGAAATGATCTGGAAGTATTAGATAAGGGACATCTTCACGCAAAAGAGGCTATAAGGTACCATTTTGTTCTGAGTTCAATCCATTTTTCATAATAAAAAAAAAACACTAAGCACAACGAGATTTTCTGTTCTCTACATCTTTTAATCAACTGTGAGATAGTAAAGATGGGGTCTATTTTTGGATAGCTCTTTCAAAAGCTTCCCTATTGCCTACTATACCTTCATAAAAGATGTCCTTGGTTTATGTATAGTTGACCCACATAAAGACTTTGTATAGATAGAAGGGCAGGCATATAGGTGAGTAGTTTAGTCTATTAATGAGGCTGAGTTTTTTTTCATACCTTTGATATCTTCCCCTCCTTAAGATACCTTGTGTATAAGTCCATCAAAGCACTCACAATTATATCACCTCCAGGATAGATCTCCTCTACATGCACTTAATCCAATCCAAATGTTTTTCCCATATTTGTTGCTTTAGGGTGATTTCTACCTCCTCTGTAAGCACTTCAAAGAATGTAATGTTAGGGCCCAAGTATAGTGGTTCCACTATGCTTGATGGAATAAACAGTTTGTTGAAATGGTTTTTGTAAGTCATTCCCATTTTTCTTCTGTTTGTAGTTCTCTTTCTAATTTCATCTTTGAATGCTCTTGGGATGACTTTGCTTAGTTGAACATCTTGCCAAGTTTTCTTCAAACTAGTCTTACTCTCTGCGGTGTCTCTCTGCTTTATAAAATGATACTGTTCATAAGTATACATCATCCTTCTTCATAGGATTTCTGCAGACAAGTTTATATTTTAGCCCAATGTTGCCTTTGGCAGACATCTCTCTCCATTTGGCAAGTAAGTTAAATGTTTGCTGACTAAGGTGCTTGCTGGGCTCTTTTGGTCTCTTTGTTGTAGCAATTAATTTAACTTCTGGATAAAGTTATCAGTGTCAATGTTATTTTCAATATCATTGTTATATCTGATTTCCTTCCCCATTTTTTATTTTTAATAGTTTGTTTAAATAATTGAGGGTTAAATATTCTAAATTATATGCCATATCTTTTTCTCATTTTTATTCTTTCTTCTTGTTTATTATAAATTCTAATCTTAGCTCTGAAGACCAGCTGGTCTGACTGTGAACAGACAGCTGACTCTGGCATAACTCTCATGTCAATAATAAGTTTTTCTTATCCATGAAAATGGAATCAAGTTCATTCCTTGTGATGTTATTTGCTGCTTACCATGCCCACTGTCTTCCAATTCTTTTTTTTAAAGTATTGATGAGAGAGAAGTATGAGGTTTCTAACCAACTTACAAGTCTTTGGCCTCCGTCATTTCTTTTTCTGGAACCACACTTTCCCATATATTTCTCCCCATCCTCACCTTTTCCCACCTTTGCATTGAAGGCATCAAGTATCAGAGTATATGTTGATTTAATTTGAAGGGTTTTATCCAGTTCTTCATAGAATTTCTCTACCAGAGGACCAATGGTGCATAAACTTCCCCACTAAGCCTTCTCTCCTCCAAACTAAATATTCCTAACTCCTTCAATGTAATTTAAAATCTTTCTTCAACATGTCTTTGAGTGATTGGGAAGATCAGCATCACCTCCAGTCTGCCTAGGCAGGGGAGGGAAACTGAGACCAGAAGAGGACCAGTGATTTCCAAAAGGGACACATAAGCAAATCTACACAAAGCTGGGAGGAATGGAGGGAGAAGGCAAGGAGAGAAGTCTAAAAGCCAAGCATCCCAGTGTATCATTCTAGAACTATATCTCTGCAATGCTCTGCCCCTTACTGGTCATTCTCTTCTCCTTTTTTCCTAATAGTCAGAGATCCTTCATGTAAAAGTGATCAGTACTCCTCCTGATGTGGTGATGTGGCTGCAGTGTTTTACCCTAATTGAGTAATTAATAAATGTTTATTGAATGAATGAATGGGAAGTCCACCGACTGAGTGGCATCAGAACTTGTGACCTAGAGCACTACTCTTCCTCTGTTCATAGGCTACTTGACTGGACTGATTCAGGGACTCAGATACACAGAAAAGGGGCACCTGGTCCATTAACTGGGTGTGGCTGCCTTTGACTACTGAGCCAGGGTAATCTGATGGGCACCAGTTTGCCCTATTCAGACTCCTTTCTCTGCCCTTCGCCCACCCAGCTGACAGGAAACCCAGAGTGGCTGGATCCTTATCAGGACTCCAGATCATGCCAACAGGATGTGTGTGTGTGTATAAGGGGACAATGAGCCCTGGGGGGACAGGCAAGGAAGCTGTGGGCAAAGGCTCTCCTTGGGCAATACTTCTCTCCTTATTCACAGCAGAACCACTGAACCA